CTGACACATTCCACTAACAAGTTGCGCCTTATCCCCATTTCTTTCATGCCAATACGATTCTTAATGGTGTCCTTCAATTTTCCCTCAATAGGTAGAGTCGTTCCCACCACATTGTCCCAAACATTCTTCTCAATATGCGTAGGATCCACAATGTGTTTGATTTTCAACTTTGACTAGCATTTCAATTAAAAGAATATACTATTTTCCATCCAATTTAGTCATTCCATTGGTCGGTCTTTCCTGAATTGGAGATTATTCAACTTGGACAATACTGATCGGCTCATTTAACTAATTAGTGATCTCTAGCTTACCTCCGGACCATTCCCTTGGTCTAGGCCCAAAATTTGTTTTCCTATCAAATGCTTGAGGCTCGCTATGCCACTCGTGGTCCTAGGGGAGCCATCTTCGATGGCCCAAGTAGCATACATTCCTTACGTGCCAAAAGGACAAGGTGTCTTCATTGCATGTAGAGCAATGTCATATAACATTTGGTACTCCAGTCTGACAACATACCATAAGTTGGAAAATTATTAATTGTCCACATAATTGTTGCTTGCTGAGTAAATAGTTTCCTAGTGGAATTGTCATACGTCCATACACTATTTTTTCCACAAATCGATCAACTCATCAATCAATAGCCAAATATAAACATCAATGGAATCACTAGGTGATCGTGGCCCGGATATTAAAAGACTCATGATCGTTGATTCTTTCTTCATACACCTCCAGGGGCAAGTTATAAGGAACAACGACCACTGACTAGGTGCTTCTCTCATTTGAAATTTTCCAAATGGATTGAAGTCGTTGGTAACAAGCCCTAATCTGATATTTCTTGGCTCTACAGAAAAATGAGGATACAATTTATCAAATTCTTTTCCCGCTTCGTCATCTACCGGTGCAGCATTACATCATCATCAACCCGTTTGTCCTTATGCCACCTCCTATCACAAGCAATGTGGGTCGACATGCACAATTTTTGTAATCTTGACTTCAGTGGAAAATAATGTAGCACCTCGTTCAGTTTCTTGTTATTTTGATATCTAGGTTCATTGCAGTTGAGACAATTGTCTAGCTTCTCGAACTAACATTTAACATTCCCCATCATTATATAGTAATTTCAATTAGTCATATTACGATCTACTTTCATGTGCATCAACTCCACAATAGTTGTTAGCACCGAGAAATCTTGACAACTGGGGTGCAATTATCACTGAGCTTATTTCAGCAATCTATTGTACTTCTCGGAGTCTGACTCATTGTCCATATTGAGAGTAGCGTTAGGAAATCATCATTCACTATGTTCATCACTCAATCATCACTAATGCAACTAGATAAGGGAGGTTGGTGACTAACTATGCCATTGTTGGAAGATGTTGATGTTGTAATGGGCGATCTCGGTGATAAGTTCAATTCGAGTAAGTGTGTACCATCTCATTTCCATATAAATGATAACAAACTTTATCTAATGTCATCCAAACGCAGTTTTTATATTTCACGCACGAACACCTGATCCGATGCTAAACACTGACATGGTTGCTTGTAAATTCAGTAAGTGTCTCGATCCCATACAAATATTCGTCACGACATCTATCGTGCAACTTTTTCCCTATTTGTCCATTGTGCCTGCTTTCAGAAATTTAGTCATCATAACAAGTTGATATATGACTGTTCATCCCCTTATGCCAACGACAATGATACTATCCCATTTGAAAGGGCACATTCTATGTTGCGGTTTGCAATTCATGCAACTATTTTCAATCGTAAAAAATTCGACAACTCTCCTTAGGGTTCCTCAAGTGCACGACTTGTATTAATAAATATCTAGTATGTACTCGATGAACATTAGGAGGATACAACCAAAATTGAAATTTAGCCTTGTTCACCGCAAACCCTAACCACATACTAGTGCATTTTTTAACTATCTGAATTGGACAATTCGAGAATCAGTTAGATAGCAAAGACACATACTGCGTCTACATGCACATCCAACAAACTCTTAAACGAGTATAAGGTTTTTTCAATTCTATCATACATGAGATTCGTTTGAACCAAAGTGGCTGTTAAATAGTTTGGCTTCCGATGTGAACGTTTTTATTCGAGTTTAATAAAATCTTTCTTTCGACAAAAAAATAAAAAAAATAAAAAATTGTATAAACGGTTATGAAATTTAAAAAAAAATTCACAACACGATTTCCAAGACTAATAATGCACAAATTAAATTCACCTAATCTACATATATTCCAATAATTTACAAACTCAAAATTTCACGTAACCAACAATTTCATCATATACATTTATGTATGTGTGCGTGTAAATTAAAATTTACTAAAAATTAAATTAAGAGACAAATACATACCATTGTTTTTATTTTCTTCCAATTCAATTACAAACATACAACAAACAAAATTAACTAATTACATAATTAAACAAAAAACCAACACTTATACCATTTACCTGCTCTCTTTCAGTTTTCTCATACTCAATAATAAGTGGACCCAACAATCCGTACTTATATAACCTCCAAATTAACGCTGTGTTGACAGTCTACAAAGACGGCTGCTTCATATATACTAGCAACGAGCACACACTTTGTGTGTGTGTGAACAATTTCTCTTAATAAGTGCATATTTTTTTTTATACTATTATTAAGAGAAGCCTCCTTGTGAACTTTTTCCCCCTTTTTTTCTATTTTCCCCTCCTTTTTGTCAATAGTGTGTATCAAAAATGAGGGCAAAATAGGTAAAAAGGAGAAAAACCACCCACCTCCTACATTCTCATCAAGCGCAACCACTTCAGTTCGTTCAAACTATCCAAAAAATATCATGATTTCACTTACGTGTGTGAAAAAATGATGGTGGGACAATTTCTCTTAATAAGTGCATATTTGTTAGCTTATGTAAATATTTCGATATAAACTTACTATTTTGCCCTCCTTATATAAATATTGTGCATCAAAAGTGAGGGCAAAATAGGAAAGAAGGGAAAAGTTCAAAAGATACAAAATTACTATTTTGCCCTTCTCATGTCAACACTATGTATTCAAAAGTGAGGGCAAAATTGGAAGAAAAGGGGAAAAAGTTCAAAAGATACAAAATTACTATTTTGCCCTCCTAATGTCAACATGGTGTATTCAAAAGTGAGAGCAAAATTGGAAGAAAATGAGATAAAAAGTTGACAAGTCCTCTTCTTTTAATAATATAGATATATAATAGTCGCGGACCTTTCCACCAAGACGGCCTTGAGTTGGTGAATCCTTTTTCGGCTGTTGCCTTTGTTTATAGAAGAAGATAATATAGTAATTGGGCGCGCCCCACGTTTATGTCGTTAGCTGTATTATTCTGAAGGCGTCTTTCTCTTCCAGAAGATAAGAATAGGCATCTAATCTTTACGTGAGAAATGCCCCCACTTGGCAAATTCTAAAGTTTATTTTCAAATCCACAAGAAGTTAATCTCTCAAAGACTCGAAACTTTTTTTTTTTTTGGTCAAATAAAGACTCGAAACTTAGAGCTACAAGGCGCTAGGTAACTTTGAGATTTGATTAGGCAACAACTCAGAAGAAATTCTAATTTTTCTGCTAAATTAGTTAGTAAATAGTGTCATAAAACTATTTTAACTAGTCAGTTTAACTTAACATATCCAACAGCACTCTATTTTAACCAAGGTCTAAAATATTGATGATATCGGAAATATCGATAGTCCAAAAACACGGAAATTTCGATGGAAATATCGGGATATTATCGATATCGATAAAAATTGAATAAAAACCACAGAAATTGTAAAAAAAACTTGGAAATTTATTGAAACTTTGCAAGATGTTTATTTAGTCAATTATCTATTAGTTTATCACAAAAAAATGAAGGAAATGCATTGCATGATGGATTTAACGGATTTAAGTTGATTATATAGTGAGCTGGCAAACATTGTGAATGTAGAAAATATGTAGTAATTAATAAAAGAAGTTCAAACACACCATAATCATTTATATATAATGAATTAGTACAATATTTTACACTTTATATATTGCATGGTAAGATACATGAGTGACTTAGTACCACATAGAGTTCCTATCAAGGTCTAAAATATTGATGATATCGGACATATTCGTAGTCCAAAAACACGGAAATTTCGATGAAAATATCGATATTTTAGACTATGATTTTAACAAACCTTTAATATTTATTACTTATTAAAAGAGAGAAAGAATCGAATAGTTTGAGACTTTTAAAACTTTTTTAATGTTTAGCAAGTGAATAGTCACTTTATAAGATTCATTTAAAGATTCTGTCAGAGTGAAGTTTTGTTAGGTTTTTTGCCAACATAGTTGGCAAATGTTTATAGCATCTCTTGGAGAAGGCAATGAAATTAGCTCGACATTGTTAATAAAAGATTTACTTAGCACAATTAAACGACGTTATTATTGTATATTCACTCAACAAGATTAAGCCAAATACTTTTTTAAAATGAGAAATCACATGCTTTTTATAAAATTATGAAATTTGCTAATGGACGACATTTTTCATATCATATCTATACTACATCTCTAATAGAATGGTGGATAGAATGATGGTACAAATATGATATGAAAAATGTGATAAAAGTAGTATTTTTGTTTAAATACAAATATGCAACCCTTTAAAAAGAGAATTTACCTTCAATTGATAGGATAAATAGTTAATAGTACCAAAGGATAGTTCGACAAAGTTTGATATCATAAAATGCTTGGATTCTCACTAATGCTAGAGTTAGATTAACTTTTGTGGTTTTTCCCAAAAGAAAAAAAAGGTTGTCTAATGTCATTGCAAATTGTTGGTCAAAAGTCTTCCAGATACGTTTTGAAATATTAACAAAGAAAAAAAAAACAAAGATAATAAGAAATTAATGTAATAAAAAAATCCTGTCTCCACTTGAATTTCTTAAACATTTTTACCGTATCTGACACCATAAGAATTTTATAAATACAGCAGCTTCTTGGTCCAAAATCATTCAACTCATTCAACTCAGAGCCTTTTGCAATTCTTTGATACATACCAAACCAAGACCAAAGACAAAAATCACTCATCCTTTTTTTCGTACACAATGAAAGGAGAGGGGAAGAACACGAAGTGCCTAGCATATGTTGCTATTTTCATTGTGTTTCAGATCATAGTCATCACAGCCTTTTCACTTACTGTGATGAAAATCAAGGGTCCAAAAGTCAGGTTTGGCACAGTTGCAGCAGAAAATTTCAGCTCCATAAGCTCCAACTCTCCATCTTTGAGTTTGAATTTGGTAACCAAATTTGCAGTGAAGAACACAAACTTTGGTCACTTCAAATATCCAAACAGCACTGTCACAATCTACTATGCAGGACAGGCAATTGGGTCCGCTGATATTCCTAAGGGAAGAGCCAGAGCTCGATCCACACGAAGAACCGATGTTGTCATTAGCATTAACACAGACAAGCTTTCAGGATCCACAAACCTTGGCAATGACATTAACTCAGGTCTTGTGCCTCTGACTAGTGAGGCTACCTTGAAAGGAAAGGTTGAATTGATGAAGATTATCAAGAAGAACAAGTCAGGCAAAATGAGCTGCAGCATGTCAATTAATTTGGCCAACCGTGCTGTCCAGGATTTGAAGTGCGAGTGATCAAAATTTTATGTGGTTTTGGTTAATTTTCTTTGTGGTATTGCACCTTGTTTTTTGTAATGCCTTTTGGATTCTTGTGTTATATTGATTATAAATTCTTTTATATTCATATTCATTTGGAGTTGAGGGTAATTTATGCTTTTTTGTGGGGAATGAAAGGCAACAAAAGCAAGCACAATTAGAAAATGTACTTTTTAAATTAATTCAAGATACTTTTTCCTAGTAGAAAAATGAATTCTAGTATGCTTATACTTAAGTGAGTAAGCCAAAGAAAGGAAAATGGTGAGAGTCCCATCATGCTTTTTTAAGACGCTTTCTTTATGTAATATCTATCCGTTATCTTAATGAATATCGAACACTATTTCTGAAAAATAAAAAAACAAAAATATAGCCCAAATGTAAATAGACGTTGGATTAGAAATGGCTTTTTAGGCAAAATGGTCTCCTAGATTTACATAACTTTTTATTTTGATTATTGAGATTTGAAATCAATAGAAGTAGTCTTTGAGTTTGTCCATCATTAATCATTTTGGTATTTCCATGAAAATTCTACATTAAATAAACCTAAAATGATAAAAATACCCTCAATTTTTGTCAAATCATTTGGCCTATAGTTTGTTAAATTGAGTATATTTTTGTCATTTTGGTCCTTTCTTAATATAATTTTTCATGGAATGATCAAAATGATTAATGGTGGACAAACTCAAGGACCACTTTTATTGATTTCAGATCTCAAGGGCCAAAGTGATAAGTTATGCAAATCTTAGAGACATTTTTTGTGAAATCCCGTCCCCGGAATTTCACTATTCATTACGTATCCAGTTATTACAAACAACTGGGTACATGCATAGTGAAAATTGGAACTTGGAACTAGAAAACTTTTCCAAAACAAGTATCAATTATTTTATTCAAAGTAGAGGGAAAAGATAATATCACTAGATTTAAAACATTAATGATAGAATATATATATATTAATAATAAAAGAAAGAAAATGAGAGGGGGGTTGGAGAACCATTGGGAAAAGAAGGAAAAGAGAAAAAAAGGAGAAGGAAAAGAAGCCGGGGGGGGGGGGGATCGCTCGCTTTTTCTAGGAGGAAGGAGGGGAGAACTTCCCACAAATATCTCCATATCAGTGTCCTGGGTTCCTTAATCTAATCTGCTACTATGTCCCTCTCTCCCTGTTGCGTTTCTTTCCCTCCAAAATCAAGAGGTAGGCAATTCTTCCATTCCCCTTCACTTTTCTCTCAAATTAATTTGTTTAGATTTTTAGTATGATGATCATTTGTTGCATAATTCACTTGATATTGATAATTTCAACTATCTGGGTTGGTGATCATTCTATTTTTTTTCCTTTCGTTGTTTTCTTTCTTGGATGTGAGGGTCTAGAAATTAATTGTTCGATTTTTCAGTTGTTCATTCCAATTATGCTCAGTAAGTTAGAGAGTCTTTTACCATTTACATGAAGGAGATATATATCATCCTGTGTAAGCCCAATAATTGATCGATTTCTCTGACAAAATAATGTAATGTCAAGAAAAATATGGTGAAGTGCATTTAGTTTTTGCATGGTTCATTAATAATTAATTAATGAACATAATACCTCCATGACGAGCACGAGTTTATTAAAGTTAGAATTTTTGTTATTATAGCTTGGCAGCATGACTTTCGGTAACTCGAAGAAAACCACCAAAAGAAAGGGAAACGATTAGTAGTTTGATTATAAGTAGTGTGTTTAGCACTTTGAAAATGTATTTTGCACTCCAACCTAGTGTACAAAATAAAAATATGTGCGGCAGAGAATGTGGGTTTCGGACATCGAATTTGGAAATTCAAGTCCCGTTTTCAATAATATGAGTACAAATCGTTTAGGTTGCTAATTAAAGGTTATGGAATTTTGGCTGTGATTGAATAGATTTGGTTAGTGGATATTGGTAATTGTGGGTTCTTGGAAAGACAAAATTAAATTAAATAGACGAACTACGAATAACTTGATCTCTATAAAGGGTACGTAAGCAATCTAACAGGAGGTTAGATGCAGCCATAAAATGTACAACAAATTACTAAGCAATTCGAGGCATGGGATGTGCTTGGTACTTATCCCAAAGGCGGGTATGTTAGATATATGGTTATCTGATGATGTCACGTGTCGATCCTGAACGTATGTTGGGATCGAGGCGTGACAACTTTTAGTGGTATCAGAGCTTAGGTTAACAACCTGGACCAAGGAATATGATTGGGAGAAATACCATGATGCATGAATGCTTAGTTATTTGAATTTTGCAAATGAAGCTATGCATGTTTGAAGTAGCATCAAACAAGGTGTTTCTGAGTAACAATGTAAAGTAATTATCATAATGTACAAGAAGCTGAAAATAAATGCATATACGTGATCTGTTGGTTGCGGTTGTTAACTGAACCCATTATTTTGTTGAATTATCTATTATTGAAGTTGTTATTCATTTTGATCTAGCTTACCCAAATTAATTATGTCTTGTCCGAATCAGTTTATGTGTTGGTGAATGGACTAGTAACTACCGTACACAGATTATCGAAATGATTGTAGACCAATTCAAATGCTATATTGAACTCAGGAATTATACATAGTATTTGACGGAGACGAAAGTATTGATAATGTGTGGTTACTACTTACTATGTATGATGCATGATGAGTGATGATCAACCACTTTTGTTCTCTAGCATAGAATATTCCAACTGCTAGTCTATATATATAATTATATATCCACGTTTGTTAAGCTCATCGGCTCTCTATAGGGATTACGCCTATATTTTGTTTGAATCATTGGTCCTATTGGTCTCCCAATTATCGATTCTTATGAACACCCAGTCTTGTGAATTTTTCTGGATTAGTGTCCACTCATGTCGATTTTCATGGGTAAGCTTTCAATTTTCTTCTGTTGCCAAATATTTAGTTTTCATTATAAATAAATGAGTCTTCGTGGAATTATAATATGATGTGTGGCTAGCCAATTAATATTCTTTCTTGTAATGATATACTTGACTACTGTTGTTGTTTGAAACCCATTTGATATTATAACTTCTCATATATATTGGAAAGGATAAATATTCATATATGCTTTTGACGAATTGACATGTGTGCATATATCTGTGTTCAAATGCTTTAATTTGTACTATTTACTTGGATGAAAAATATATGTAAGACTTTGGCTGTTTCCTAGATTTTAGTTATGTATACATGTACAAGGTTTTGAACATCACAAGGCTAAGGTAGTAATTGAAATTCTCGTTACTTTCAATTTTTTTTTGGGTGTATTGATCAAATATCATGTCCTTGGGTTTGGGTTCATAGGTCAATTCTTGCTAATAGTTGAGTATAATATAGATAGAGGTTTGAACCATGATTTATGGAGTGTATGGAAGTGTTCTGAAGTTGTAATTTGAATAAAACGAGTATGGGTTCCAAAAATTTCAGAAAACTTATTTTACTGCAAAAAAACTATTACAAGTGGCTTACTATAGCTCTTGATTTCCCGGTCCTTGTGATTCCTTTTTGGTCCAATATTATGTATTTGGAAACTAGGCATGTCCATGATTAAACCCATCTAATTTCAATAAGTTCTGTTGAGTTTTGATTGACAAAAAATCATGTCCAAAGTTGAATCACAGAGCAGCCAGATAGCAACAAGTTCTGCATTTCCAGTTTTGGGTCCCCATATTATACCTGGCATAAGTTTCAATCTAGAGCTCTGTTTCCTACAAATCTTCAATGGTTTTAAAGTACACAAAACGAGCTTCAAAACTCTCTTAATTTTGTACCCTTTGGTTCAGTTTTGAGCATCCAAAAGTGAGCGTTAACTTGGTTGATGAAAACAGCTGTTTATGTAGCTTATGGGGAGAGACGAGTGTTGTTTTCACCTTACTCAACTCATCACCCAGTTTCTTTTAAATTACCATTGCCTTGCATCAGTGTTGTTATTGGCATTATAAGTTGTACTAAGATTATGTCTATGCTAGGCATGTTTATAATTTGTAATTAGTCGCTTTGTTGCTTAGTAATATCCATTATTGGTGTGAGTTATCATTTGTTCATGCTTTTATAAATTGGATTAGGCTCGGGAGTTCTTAGAAACTTTGGAGGGTGTGTGTTAGCAAAGCTAGTTGATACGTGGGAAGAAACATATGTGTTTACTATGCAAATCATGGGGGTTGATTTATGATATGTGGTGATAAGAAGGCACCATGTATCAGTGTGGCCCATGGGTGGTCCTGCTTGGTTAATTCGCATCAGGGGACCACGCCATGTGATGTGTGGATCTATCGGCACTAGAAGAAAAAAGTTCATCTATCACGGTGAATGCCCGTGATAAATTGCAATCCACCACGGACACTGTGCCCGTTAGTATTCTGGATGTGATAAAAAGTCTCATTTTCTACCACGAGCTATGCTCGTTGTCAACTGCAATATAACCACGAATTATACCCGTGGTAGATTGAGATCTAACACCACGTGCTATGACCGTCGATTACTAATTAACCACAGCTAATGCCCGTGATAAATTATTTTTCAAAATTAAAAAAAAAATATTTAACAAATATATATATATATATATATCTGTATTTATATATTTTAGTATAGAATAACCAACAAAATTGCATATTTACTACAATATAATAAGCACATAAAAAATACTTGATAATATTATAACATAATTTAAAAATACTTGAGTTTCCAAATGAATACATAAACGGAAGTCATAAAGTACTATCCATGTTGTGCCTAATGAATACATAAACGGAAGTCATAAAGTACTATCTATGTAGTGTCAAAGTACCATTTTCTAGTGTAAGTACGAACTAAAATTACTCTCCAACTTGGACGTACTTTGATGGCCAGGCAATTGTACTAGATACAGCATCCTCCATTCAAGAAGTTTTCAAGACCAAATGCACATTATTCTATCACCAACCAGATAAGAATGTAAATCGTAACCCCTTTCTCCTTTTGAAACCAAATCAAATATCATTTACTGGATTCTACGAACCCAACATCGATCTTTAGTAAGTTATAATCAGAAATATTAAAGCAATATATAGCAGATCAGGAATACAAAATCGTTTCCTCTTACACTCTTTACAGCGAACTACCCAATCCTTGTTGTTCCTCTGACATTGATGGCACATCATCAACGCACCTCCTCAAAATCCCAAAACAACAATTACATTATAAATCATCAGTGATAACAAATGACAAA